CCTTACTGCATCTGCATCTTATCGTCTCGTGAATTAAGAGCAAGGATCAGTAGTATTCTTCGCTCATGGAGAATTTCCCAACTTGTCATTATTTACCAAACACTCTGGTGTTCTGTTTCATTTATCAAAGTGGCAACATAATACTGTTCACGTTCTTTTCCATATTCCATGCTCGTGTCAATCTCCTCACTCTGTCATACTGTTTTCAAGCGTCAACTTCATTTTTCCCTTTGGAGATTTTGCCAGACCTGTTGAGTTTGTCTGTTCCATTCTCCCAGCTCATCCGTCTCCGTTGCATCTATTACGATGATGCCAAGTTTGATAAGGGATCCTCCAAAATGTTCACCTTCATCCTCAACCAAGGATTCCCCAGCACCATTTTTCAGACAGCCCTCTGTCAGGTCCGTGCTATCTTCCGCACTTCAGCCCTCACCCCTCTCTTCCATCATGCAACAGTGATACTGTTCCTTGTCTTTACCAATCATTCCACCAGCGTCTATATCCAGAGGATCATTAACCGTCATTTCCGCCACTCCCAGCGGGATGCCACCACCTGACGCAAATCACCCTCCCCTCCCTTGTCAGCCTTCTGCAGGGACAATTCCCTCTCAGACAATTTTTCTCTCCCATAAAGCCACACGACACATTCTCCTGCAACCACAGAAGATGTAGCACCTGTCGCTTACTTCCTCCCACCTTAGTATCCAAGGGCACAAATACACCTTCTCGGTGAAACAGCGCTTTACCTGCACACGATCTAGTCTGTTGCAGTCACTGCTCATACTGTGGTCTCCTCTACATTGGGGAAGTGAAGCGTAGATTGGGCAACCATTTTGCAGAACACCCATGTTCTGTCCGCAAAAGAGACCCTGAGCTTCCAGTTGCCTGCAATTTCAATACACTACTGTGCTTCCTTGTCTACATCATTCTCTCAGGCTTGCTGCAATGCTCCAGCGAAGCTCAGCACAAGATGGAAGAACAGCACCCCAATTTACGCTTGGGAGTCTACAGCCTTCTTGACTGTATATCGACTTCAACAACTGTAGGACTTGAGCTTTCCCATGTGTTTACCCAGATCCCACGCACCTGGCCTTGTTATTACACTGTCTGCTAAAAAATACACAACCCATTGATAGCCACTAACAGACACCATTACTAGATATTCACCTTCCTGGTCGAATCTTTATCCATTCCTTTCTCTGATCAACTGCTCGTCTCTCTCTTTGGGCTCCAGCCTCACCTTTCATTTACACTCTACCCATCCCCCACCCAATTTTCTGAATGTAAACTGACATTTTCCTAGCTACGATCAGTTCTGAGGAAGACCCATGCGACCTGAAATATTAACTCTATTTTCTCTCCACAGATTGCTGCAGACCCGCTGAGCTTTTCCAGCAATTTCTGTTTATGTTTCTGTTGAGCTTCCTCACTATTTTCTGTGTTTGTTTCAGATTTCCAGCAACCAGAGCATTTTGCTTATATGTGAGATTTTGACCAGTTTTATCCAGTCTCAGTGAGATCCAGGGAAAAAGGATGCAGTCAGTGGAAAGCGTATTCACTTTGCGGTAGGGGCTGAGGATAATGTTTCTGTCATCTTCATGTTTAATTGGAGGAAATTTCTCTATATCCAGTCCTTTAGAACGTTTTACATCTTGGAGGTGACCTTGGAGATGAAGGTACATTTGTTTCTATCGTCCTTCAAGTTGGTGGAGTTTGAAAGACCAAGAGCGTTTGTCTGTACTGGGGTCAAGTTGAGGTGTAGGAACCGTCTTGGCTTCACGCCCAGATTTCAACTGTCACTCACACCCCTCTCACAGCATGCAGAGTCTCTTATCGCTTCAGACCACGTAGCAGGTCCCTGTCTTTGAGAGGCATTTGTTAACTAGTTTTCTTATATAACAATCCGACAGCTTCCATGATCGCTTTCTCCTGATGTTGGCCCCACCTGCCTATGTTTGATTCTGGGTCCTCTTTCATTGGCTCTTTTCAATTTTGAACTAATTTCACAGGCCATTTGAAGATGAGGATTTGCAGTAGGGGAACACAAAGCAAAGATAACATCCGGATTTGACAAAGTAATCTTGTTTTTTATTGCAACTTGAATTCTGTCAGATTTTGATCTTGGAAGGAAAAGGTGCAGGCAAAGCGTACACGTGAACCTAGAGTTTTGGATTTCTTTAATCTCATGTTAATGTCTGTCTCAGTTGTAATTGCATCAAGACATAGTTACGTTTTCATGGTCTGCATGTCGATTACTGCTTTCAATCATTTCTGAGTTGATATTACAGGAAACTGCCCTAATTGTTACTGCAATGCTACGAGTCCCTTTTAATCCTGCACTAGGTTAGTTTAATCCTTTTCTCATTTAAATCATTTATTATAAAGGGTAGTTAAGAAGCCATTTAGCTGACTTGGCTTCGTTGCTCAGACCCTTGACTATAAGAGTTGGGACGTCTTGTTGACGTTGTAGTATGTTGGTGAATCCTCTTCTACTGTGCGCAGTTCTGGTCGCCCTGCTATCAGAAGGATGCTATTAAATTGTAGACGATTCAGAAAAGATTTACCAATGTGTTATCAGGAATGGAGGATTTGAGTTATACAAATAGGCTGGACAGATTGGGATTTTTTTTTTAGCTGGAGCCTAGGAGATTGAGGTGTGACCTTTTCGAGGTTTCTAAAATAATGAGGAGCATATCAATGGTTTTATTCCCATTGGTGTGTTCAAAACTACGAGGCATATACTTATGGTGAGAGGAATACATTTTAAAAAAGACATGATTTGCTTTGATTTAATTGATTTATTGTCACGTGTACCGAAATACAATGAAAAGCTTTGTTTACTAGCGGTGCAGGTAGATCACAACAAGCAAAAGATGTACAGATCAAAAAGACTTAGCGGCATGCAGTTTATATTGCAGGTTATATTATTTATTTAAGGCCACAGTCCATTCAACAGTCTGCTAACGGCCGGAACCCAGCTCGTACGTGTGTAGAATGTCATTATGAGAGTGTGATGTGTCTTTGATTATGTTGTCTGTGCTTCTGCAGCAGTGAGACGTGTAAATAGAGTCCATGGATGGAAGGTTGGCTTCCATGATTGTTTGGGCTATGCGTACCACCTTCTGTGGTTTCTTACAGTCCTGGGCAGAGCAGTTGCATTTCCAGGCTATTATGCACGGGGACGGTATGCTTTCAATGGTGCATCTGTAGAAGTTGGTGAGGGACCTGTGGACATTCCAAATTTCCTGAGCCACATGAGGAAGAAGAGGAGTTGTTGTGCCTTCTTGACTGCCGCATATACGTGAGAAGTCCAGGACAGGTCGTCGGTTATCGTCACTCCAAGGAATTTGATGATTTTCACTCTCTCAACCTCAATTCTGTTGATGTAGGTGGGGTGTGTTCTCCACCTTTCTTTCTGAAGCCGATGAACAGTTCTTTAGTTTTGCCAACGTTGAGAGACAGATTGTTTGCACTGCACCACGCTACCAAACCCTCTATCTCCCTTCTATATTTTGACTCATCGTTGTTACATATCCGTCCCACTACGCTGGTGTCGTCAGTGAACTTGTAAATGGCATTCATTCAGAATTTGGCAACTGGAGTCGTAGGTGTAGAGAAAGTACAGTAGAAGTCTGAGGATGCATTGTTGGGGTCTTCAGTTTTTGTGGAAGACGTGCAGTTACCTATCCTCACTGATTGCAGGCTATGCGTCAGTAGGCCATGCATCCAGTTGCAGAGGGCGGAGCCGAGACTAAGGTCACACAGTTTTATGATCAGTCTGGAGGGGATGTAGTTCACGAGAAGGAGTCTGACATAGGTGTCTTTGGTGTCCAGATGTTCCAGGGATGAGTGCAGTGCTAGGGATACAGCATCCTCTGTGGACCTATTATACTGGTAGGCAAACTGTAGGGGATTGAGGCAGGTTAAGAAACTGGAGTTGATGTGGGCCATGATGAGCCTCTCAAAGCACTGCATGATCATTGAAGTCAGGACTATTGGGTGATAGGGGCAATGTTTTTACACAGGCAGTGTTTCGTGTGTGGGAAGAACTGCCAGAGGAAGTGGTGGATGCAGATACAGTTGCAACATTTAAAAGACACTTCAATAAGTACAGGAATAGGAAAGATTTTGAGGGAAGTGGACCATACACAGGTATATGGGACCAGTTTATTTTTGGAATATCCTCGTCTTGGACTAGTTGGACTGAAGGGCCTGTTTCTGTACTGTATTACTTCATGACTCCAGGACATTTAATGTTGTACGGAGTATTGATAGTGCACTTGGCCCTGCATTTCTAAGCCATGATCCAGTATTGCCGTAGCTGAATATGTCCCTCACAATATTGCACAGGGCCCTTGTCGACTGTTGGCCTGTCAAAAAATCTGAGCCTTTATTCAAGCATTTGGAAGCCCTTTCCTCCATTTCTAGTTCACCAAGTTAAGTGATGTGTTCTTAAGAATCTAAATGACCCAGAATTTGCATGTGGAATTCTTCTCCTGAGATATTTGACTGTGTTACCTAACAATGATTTCAAATAGTTCAGCTTTAAATCCAATAAAACGTTATGTGCCACTAAAACATTAAAGCCTAAAGGACTTCCCAATTAAGCACGTACATTTCAACTAAATTGACACTATAAGAGCATGAAAAAGCTGAGGACATTGTAGACACGTGAAGAAGCTGATTTGGGTGAAATATTGAACCTGTGTTCATTATCTTCCTTCACTAGCCTCCGTTGATTGAGAAAAAGAGTATAACTCATGGGAAGAGTGAAACGACAGCATCTGCAGCCAGCAGTTCACCCCCGAATGAGAATATCCACTTTGCCAATTGCACAAAGCCTACGTCACGTGGTTTATTCAGCTAAAAGTAATTAAGTTACATTTTCTGACTTGATTGCCCCTCTGGAGACTCTCACTCAGAATAAATGAGGGATGGCGTGATTGTTTCGCAGAGCCGGGGTGCGCAGCTTCTGTGATTCCTTTAGTTCATGAAGGACGATGCACGGACCAGCGAATGGCCCCGTCTTTGCCATTTGCTATCCTATTCTTGCTGCAATTGGTGCTCCTGGTCAGTAATGGATCCGAAGATTGCTATATGTTTTTTGAAATGTCCAGGATTCTTGTTTCCTCCCTTTCAGATTAGAGCCAAATTTATTTAACTTTCTGAGTGATAGGGATTTCAGTTGGGTTTTAATTTTTTTGGTGCATTATGCAATATTTTAGCATGTTATGTCTGGTGCTGAATGCACTAGTTAATTCCACTGGCATTCTGAATATTACAGAACGATACTCGAATTATTGTAATATATATTTATATAAATATTGCATACCAATTTCTGAAGAGCGGATACTAATGTCGAACATTGTATCAATCTGTTCATTATATTTCGTAGGTTCTATTCTAATGTAGCAAATTCAATCTTCTGTTTTAATTTTGTGTGGAATAATGGCGTATCACAGCATAGGAAAATACTTTTCTGTTATTTTTATGGTTACAAAAATCAATAATTGCAGCATAATCATGTTAGAAGAATTGCAATATAAAATTAAATGTTTTCGGTGCTCACACAAGTGTATAGCACAGCATCCATTTACTGTGTAGCGAGTTCACAATGGGGGATCCCCATTGTGAACATGGTATTCGGCATTTATTGTGGAAACATTTGAAATAAGTGATCGGAGTTCCAAGATTATTCGTATTAGGCGTTTGTCATTTGCTGATAGTTTCTATAAGCTTAAATTTTGCATAATTATATATTTACCCATTAGCCGGATGTGGCTGTCGCTAGATAGTGCAACAGTAACTTTTAGTTTCGATTCTGAATGCAGAGTTTTCCTTGTTTCTTCAGCAGTTCATTCGGTTTCACGCGAACTTTTAAATAAGAAGAAATTTTATCAATAGTTTGATCAACATTTGCAGTTATAAAGAAGATGCTAGTGGGTAAAAGAGAGGGTTCTGCTGAGGGAGAGAATTACAGAGGTTAGGGCGTGGACATTGTTGGAAGAATAAATTTGAGGGAGATGCAGAAGGCCAGAAAGTAGGTATTCTGCAATATTAGATGGCTTTGGATTGCTGTAGAGATGGGTGTCGCGATAATATTGGGAACTTTAAAGTTTGAAAGATCAGGTTATTGCATGAAGATGTTGCTTGGCGTCAAAACAATGTATTCAGCAAGAATAGATGTTGATGGAAGGACTTGATGTAATAAATGACATGGAGCAGCAAATGTTTCCATTGAGGTTAAGCTGGAAAGCCAGCTATACGGTCTGACTGAGTGACTGGTCAATGAAGTTAGTTATTAATGCGTGAAGATGTTACTTGGCGTCAAGACAATGTATTCAGCGACAATAGACTTTGATAGATGGACTTGGTGTAATAAATGACATGGAGCAGCAAATGTTTCCACTGTGGTTAAACTACAGTTGACTGACTGACTGGTCAATGGAGTTAGTAGCAGGGAAAAATTGGAATTACTCTTTTCATGTCAAATAATTAACCCTGGTATGAATGATGAACAAATGTGTTCTGCTTTATGCATAAGAGAGCAATCAGGAAAGTTTCAACAAAAGATTGGATAAGGAAGCAGCTGGTGTTTCAATTGTTTCTCTCTTTTGGTATCTCGCAGCCAATTTGGTGGCGATACTGATCCTTTCCCGAGGAAGGTGTGGGCTGTCTCGCGGCATCACCTACTACTTACTGGCAATTGCAGTGACGGATTTCCTTATCATCATCGTTGCTGTCATTATCAATCGGATTGGCAGCATTTACTTTCGGTACAGCCTCCTATCCACCACCCCCGGGTGCAGGATCTGCACTGTGTTTGTCTATATCAGCCGGGATGGCTCGGTTTGGCTGACTGTGGCCTTCACCATCGACCGTTTTGTGGCTATTTGTTTCCAGATTCTGAAGACCAGATACTGCACGGAGAAAACTGCATCACTCGTTATAGGAATAGTCTGTCTACTGAGCTGCATCAAGAATGCCCCTTTCTTCTTTGTCTACCAGCCCTTATACATTCTAGAGGGGAAGCCCTGGTTCTGTGACTTAAAGTCCAGCTATTACATCTCGCCGGTCTGGAAGAGCTACCAATGGCTAGACCACACGTTAACCCCCCTTCTCCCTTTCTTCCTTATTCTCCTGCTCAACGTCCTGACTGTTAGGTACATCCTAGCAGCCAGCAAAGCTCGGAAGAGGCTGCGGGGCACTGAGAATTCCAAAGATGCTGAGTTGGCCAACCGCAAGAAGTCCATTATCTTGCTCTTCACAATTTCCCTCAGCTTCCTCCTCCTTTGGGCCACCTATGTTGGAAGATTCCTCTACGTGCAGTTTACTGGGGAGGGCTACTTTGGCGGACTGGATTTCAAGGATCCACAATTCATCCTGCAAGAGACGACCAATCTGCTCCAGTTACTCAGTTCTTGTAATAATGTATTCATCTATGCAGTGACCCAGAATAAGTTCCAGGAAGAGCTGAAGAAGCTGCTGATATCTCCATACACGTTCTTCTACAGTTACATTAAACGATGAAAACAACAAAATAATCCCCTCCCACGCTATTTATGTTCCATTCCGTGTTCTCACTCTCTCTTCCCCGCCATCTCTGTTTCTCCCTCTCTCTATCACTCTCTATTTCTCCAACCCTCCCTCTCTCTCTCTGTGTCTCCCTCTCCCTCTCTCACACTCACACACTTCGAGTGATAGAGTCATACAGCACTGACAAAAGACCTTCTGGTCCACCAAGTCCATGCCGAACATAATCACATACTAAACTATTTCTTTTGCTTTCTCCTCGCCCATATCCCTCAAAACCTTTCCTATTCATGTCTCTACGCAAATATCTTTTAAACGTTGCAATTGTACTCGCATCTACCGCTTCCTTGGAAAGTTATGTGTAAAAAAGAATGCCTTTCATTTCTTTTCTTAAAACTTTCTCTTCTCGCCTTAAAAATGTGCCCCCAGTCTTAAAATCCCCCTTCCTAAGGAAAAGTCGACTACAATTAACTCTATATATACCTCACATTATTTTATAAAATTCTATGAGGTCGCCTCTGGACCTCCTAAGCTCCAGCGAAAACAGTCCCAGCCTATCCAGCCCTTCTTTTTAATTCAATCCTTCCATACACGGCAACATCCTGTTGAATCTCCTCTGGACACTCTTAATAATATCCTTCTTAAAACAGGGCCACCAGAACTGGACACAGTATTCCAGAAGAAGCCTCGACAATGTCCTGTACGACCTTAACATGACCTCCCAACTCCTCGACTCAAAGTACTGAGCAATGAAGACAAGCGTGCCGAAGCCACAGAATTCTCAACATATAACCTGAATCTAAAATCCTTCAGGACAAACAGCAGAAATTCACCCTCCACAGCATTTGTGCTGATTAGTTTCACCCAGTCTGAATGGAAATTGAAGTTTCTATTTTTTACTGTATTACGTACATTACATGGACATCTAGTTTTCTGTTTTATATTCAAAAGGAATTGTTCGTGATATTAAATTGGTTCAGCAGACTATGTGCTCAATGCAAAATCCAAATGTGTATCTTTATTCACAGTATTATCACCTAAAGATAGCCTGGATATTTTAACAGTTTATCACCCCTGTGTGCAAATAACAGAAAATTAGAGATCCTGCAATCACCCATGGACTCACGGCTGACACTGCATGTAGCCCTGAGGTGGGATTTCTGAGTGAATCCTTTCCCACATTTAGTCCAGATGAATAGTCTCTCTCCAGTGTGAAATCACTGGTGCACAGCGAGTTGAGATTTTCAGATTAACCCAATCCAACAGTGAATGCATCTGAATGGTCTTTCATCGTTGTAAACACTGTTGATGTAGCATTAGTTCCCGAGAGCTTTTAGAACACTTCATTTGAAAAGGCTTGTCATCGCCGTGAACGTTTTCATGCTGCATCAGCTCCTAATCAGCATGCTATATGCTCTTGTCCCTGTCTTCGACTTATATGAGGCTAATTCTCCATCTGTGAAAGCTCACGTTGCCAGAGGTTGAGATGCCAGTTAACCATGTGCTTTCATTGTCATTATGTAAACTCCCCAGTATTCTGGGCTGACATTTGTGCCTCAGTTCCTTCCTTCCCCCCGTCCATTCCTCTTATCTTTTTTTTTCCAGTCTCATGACTGTAATCTTTATCCCAAATTCTCCGTCTCACTGTCCTTTCCTTCAACATGACCAAGAAGAAGGCCCCATGAACCTGGATGAAGTTTTTGGTGTGTTCCTTTAATAATATGCAGTTTTATTGCTTACTTTTATGCATTAAGGAATCCACAAAGTGGTGATAAAGTCTAGGCTTCTCAACGGAAATAATATCAGAGAAACAGATTGAACGATTCCAATCCAATGTGACTGCGCTTTACATCCTGCCATTTTATGTTGTTCTAAAGAAAGCAGTGGGCTGTTGTTTAGGTATCAGGGTTTACACAGCAATCATGCGCACAGACATTCACACAAACACTCATTGATACACATGAGGAAACTGCCAGACAATCAGTTGGGTAACATTTGACAACACCAATGCACCTGACCAATCCTGTGGTTAAGGCTTACCATGTTCTAGATATTAAAGTGAATAATACACTGCAGTGATTGCGAGCAGTTTTGCCCAACCAATTCCACATTTTTTCGAATCTTTCATCTGTACTGAAAAAGACATCTGGGGCGTAAACAATAACAAAACCTTACAAGTAAGCAGTTTCTTTTCACTCCATGAGACATTCACAGAGGTCATGTGTTTGATTTGATACTGCTGTCAGTTTGCATGGTGCTGTTTCTCTGGCGAAATCCCTGATTATTTTCACTCTACAATTGTGAGGTAAAGTCAAGCAAGGAGCAGAGAGCAGTTTTGTATCAATTGAAACTGAAGAGGAACAGGGAGAAAGAGTAGCTTTTACCATTTTTGATTCATTGAGTCCTCAAATCAAAAATACCTATATGCACAGGCACTGACATAGAAATGCACACACAGATGTGTACATAGAGACACATACTAGATGCATTTAGGGATGCACAAACATTGGCACACAAGCAGAGATGCACACACATTCACATATACACCGATATCCAAAGTTCAGTGGTAATTTAATGCCTGTTGTCACACAGTGATGCAGTTTTATCTGTTATCAAGATATCTCCAGTGTTTCATCTGTGTTGCAAGCTTGTCCTTGTTGCAGCTTCTGATTCTTCTGATACAAAATCAGAGATGCAATAGACAGAAAGATTGACTGCTGCTGCAATTATTGTGAATATCCCCCAGAACATCGGCATTTGACAGTTACAGTCAGAAGCCTTTCAGTCTCCAGGAACACTGTTGACTCTGAACTGAGCGATTCGGTTGATCCAACTTCCCCATTCTCCCAGGAGTCTTGCACATGTTCATCTTTCATAAACATCCAACTCTCCTTTTAAAATAATAATGAAAATACCCCAGATATCTATTAAGCAGTTTATTTAAGGTCAGAATAACCTTCTTCAAAAATAAACTATCCTCATGTCACTTCTGAATATTTTGCTCCATTTGGTGCAAGTCTGGAAAGCGGTAATGTGTAGATTGTTCTTCCAGTGAGTGGGAGCAGCAGTTTGGAGCATTTGTGCGTGTAATGTTGTGATTCTGTCAGAGTGAGAGTTGTCTCGAATAATTTAACAGCATGAGAGTTTGAAAGTGTGATTATGACAAAGTGCATGTGTAAGTGACAGCTGGTATGAGGGTAAATTTTATAGCGTGAGTGTGACTGAGAAGAGAATGTGTGAATGTGAGGCAGAAAGATAGGTTGTTCACCTGTGTGATTGTGTGAGATCTTTTCTGAGAGTAAATTGACAGCGAAAAATTCTGAATGAGAGAAGGAGAGAGAGAGAGAGAGCAAGTGTATGTGTTAATAATAGTTTGATAATTAGTTTGACAGCGCGAGAGTGAGTGAGGATGTGCCTTCTCCCCACTTCTTAATATATCAGTGAATTCATACTGGTGATCAACTGATCACCTGCTCTGAGTGTGGGAAGGAGATTTTTTCGATTGTCTTGAATTTGCGCACACCAATTGGACTACAATATCAATAGAGTTTTTAAATGTCCTGACTGTCACAGCAGCTTCAGATACAGATGTAATTTTTTGACACCTGAGCATGTTTAGACTGGAGAGAGACCAATCACCTGGTCCCGCTGTGGATAAAGTGCTAGTCACTCCCGTTACTGAGACATCAGCGAGTTTACAATTGACCGTAGTGTTATTATTGAAGTTGATCACATCCAGGATTGAAACTTATTGATTCTAAATGCACAGAAATTAATTTCAACCTACTTCCTTGATAACACAATCAGGTTTCGGATGTTTTTCCTCAATTGGATTCAGTCTTTGTGTTTCTGTTATGTTAAGCGAATGGCCTGATTATAGAACTTTCTGGGAAAGATATTAGACAAAGTGTTCCACAACTTGTAATGTATCAGTTAAAAATCTACAGCCTTGAAGACTACATTAAAAGTAGCTGGCGACGTATTAACAGAGAGTTCATGGGAGATTGAGGAAAACACCCTAATGATGACATGACTTTCATCCAGAATTAGAAAGAACGGAGGCATACCTGTCTTTGGCAATTGATTGGTTGTTAAGTGTCAACATGTGGTCATCACAGACATGTGGCTGCAAAGGGATCAGAGTTGGAATGGAAGATGCAAAGATACGTGCCATTTTCAAAGGAAAAACAGATGGCCTGAGGGACACGATTGTCTTGATCGTAAGAAGTGAACTTAAATCAAGAACAAGAAGAGATATAGTGTTTGGAAGCGGAGAATATATGTGGGTAGATTTGAGAAACAGCAAACGAAGAAAGGCCCTAATGAAATTTATGGACAGGCCTCCCGGGGAGCAGAAATAAATCAGGAAATGGAAAAGGCACATAAGAAAGACACAATTACAATCGTCATGGAGGATTTCAGTACGCAGGTAGACTGGGAAAACTGTGATGATCGTGGATCCCTAGAAAACTAATCCGTGGAATATCTACAAGATGTTGTTTTTAGATCGGCTTGTGGCATAGCCGACTAGGGACCAGGCAATTCTCGATTTGGCGATGTCTAATGAGGCAGACGAGAATAGGAAGCTTAAATTGAAGGAACTCTTAGGGGATACTGGCGATGTAATGATAGTATTCACCTTGCAGTTTGAGAGGGAGTAGCTTGAAGTAGATGTAACTGTCTTAGAATTGATTAAACGTAACTAAAAAGACATGAGGAAGGAACTGGTTAGGGCTTGTTGGAAGTAGAGTCTAGCAGGGAAGACGATAGAATAGCAATGGCACGTATTTCTGGGACTAATTCCAGAGGCACAGCAGAAATTTTTCCGTAGGAAGAGGAACCATACTAAGTGAAGGACGAGACAACCATGGCTTACAAGGAAAGTTAGGGACAGCATTAAGGCAAAAGAAAAAGCATGTAATGTATTTACGATTAGTGGGAAGTCAGAGGACTGTGAAGACTTTTTTTAAAAAATGAAACAACAGAGGACAACTAAA